GGGGGGGGGGGGGGGGGGGGGAAGGGAGGACAAACAGACAGATGGACAGAAGGTGGATGTGTCGGGGGGGGGGGGGGGGGGGGGGGGGGGCGCCTTCCTGACTTTGTCTCGCCCGGTGGTGGTAAGCTAACTCTGGCTCGTCCTTTCCAACGTGCGGGGTGGGCGGGGAAAAAAAACCCACAAGTATGACCACCCGGTCCCGGTGGACGTGGCCCTGGCCGTCGCCACGCTGCCGCTGGCACTGGACCTTTGCTGTGACCGGGCCGAGTGTGCCCTGCCGGCGGCTGACCGGGCCCTGGTGGCCGAGCTGCATGAGCTCGCCGGCAATGCCATCCTCTGCCTGTGGCACGCTACCAACACCTCTCGACCGGACCAAGTGGAGGTGCGCATGTTTCCCGGTGCCCTCTTCCCTCGTGGGCCCCCCTCGTTTGCATTCCCCCCGCTTTCCTTTCTCCCCCTTTCCTGCCCCTGTCAAGGGGTGTGCTCCCTTGGCACGATGGCTGACCGCCTGTCACGCGCGCGCGCGAGCAGGAAATGTCGGCCCTTGGGGAGCTGGAGCGCGCGATCCTCGGCCTGCTGAGCGGAGCCGGGACATCGGGTCTGCGCGTGCTGGCCTCGCCTCGACATGCGGGCTCTGCCGTTGCTCCTGGGGCCGGGCCGCTGGCCTGCCCGGCGCTGGCCGCCACGCAGGGCTTGCTCCTGCTGAATGCCATGGTCCGCGCGGCCGGCCCGGCTCTCGGGCATATGGCCACCGCGGCCCGGTCTCTGGAATTCCTCCTCGGCCTGGAGTCGTGCCTCGTGCGGCAGCCCCTGCTTGGACGCCTGTATGACGAGTATCTCTCCCTGCCGGGGAATGGCCTGGCTCCTGGGGTGGCTTCCCTCCTGGAGGGCATCACCGACCAGCCGCTGATCGAGCGCCTGCAGATCCACTTCGGGCTAGAGAGGTGACACGCCGCCTGTTTTCCCCCTCGCCCGGGTCTCTTTCTTGCCTGGCTCTCTTTCTTGCCTGGCTTTCTTCCTCGCCCGGGTCTCTTTCTTGCTCCCCCCCCCCCCCTCCCCCCGGGTCCTGGACATTGGGCGGAAGGACCGCACGTGTGCCCGCTCCGACCGAAGCTCCCCGGCTCTCTCTCTCCCAAAATATAAATGCACATAGACGGACATGCGACAAAAGCCCGGGGGCCGGCGCAGGGGACTTCGGGAAGCATGTATTTGGATCGAAAATGGAGTGCAGGGGCCTCCCTTTGCTGGCGGGTAGCGGGATGGGAAACACGGAGCTGTAGGCGGAGGGGGGAGGAGGGAGGGAGGAGGGCACCCCCCGCCGCAGGGGGGCAGGGAGCGGGAAATCTATAGGACCACGCCCGGCAGCAGAAGGAAGGGGGGAAAGGAAAGGGGGGGGGGGGGGGGAGGACCGGACACCGGACCGGACACCCAGCCAACACTGGACCGGCCGGCCCCCGGGCCGGGGCTTACCGGCGCCAGGGGTTGACGCTGCCACCGGCACCGCCGAAGGCCGGCGGGGTGAGCTGCGGCTTGGATGCCTGGAGCTGGGCCTGCTGGGCCTGCTGCGCGCGGCGGAGCTCCATCTCGGCCTCCAGGCGCTTCTGGTTCTCGGCGAAGGCCGACGGGATGTCGGTCCCCTGGTAGGAGGTCAGGATGGGCCGGACGTCCGTGGTCCGGGTGGAGGCCAGCGTCTGCAGGAAGGGGATCAGATCCAGCAGCCAGAAGTCCATGGACTTGCCGTCCCACTTCGGGGCGACGACCACATTCTCCGGGTGCGTCTTGGACGCGTCGGCCCGAGTGTCCAGCAGGATCACCCGCCGCAGGTCGCGGTTCAGGTTGGTCAGATCCTTGTAGTATTCGCCCTTCTCGTGGCGGGTGAAGTCCCGGTACAGGCGGTACCAGATGTACCCCTCAGAGTCCATCTTGTCGATGATGGGCATGGCGTACTGCACATGGCGCAAGGGTCGGCCGGTGTGGCGGCGAGGCCGGGTGAGATGGGGAACGGCTGTGCGCGGGGTACCGAGACAACGAGGGAGGGAGCGAGGAGAGGGGGGGGGCGGGGAGGCTACGACGTACGGTGGAGGGCTCACGAGTGAAGATGACAATCTCATACTGGTCGCTGAGGGTGCGAAAGAACTCCGGGACACCGTGACGCATGGTGGTGACA